GCGGGGGCACCACAAGGGCTCGTGCAGGCCATTGAGCAGCTCCAGAGCCCCCCATGGGCCAACCTAGGCCAGGGTGCCACCTGGTATGGCATGAGCTCTCCTGGTCGGTGAGTTTTGGGCGCTTCTCAATCGGATGTGCGAATTCCTCCACGAATCAAGGCCTGCTCGCTGGCTGCTTCGTGGCTACGGTGGCCACACGCCTCTCTCATGAGGGAGGGCACTGGCAAGTTAGTTGCAAGGAGCCAGCTCTGAATTCCAGCTGGGGCCAGCAATGTTGATCTTCCGAGAGACGGCGTTACCCCTGCGTTTGAGAAGGGGGCCCACAAGTTGAGATGTGACCATTCTTGCCGAATCCATGGGGGGCATCCCTTAAGGACTGAACATTAAAAACCGGGAGATTGCAAACAGAACGATCATAGATAAGGATTGCGTTGAGCACTGAGTTTACTCAAGGATTTCGGCGCACGTAGGACTTGGTACAAAGTCTGCATGTGGACGTTGTGTGAACTTCGGGTCGGCGAAACAATTAGATGTGGACAACATGCAAATCCCTCGAGCTCCTTTTAAAGAAGCTGCTCCTGTCCAAATTCCAAGTTAGAAGCCATGCCCCTGGCTAGGACATCATTAAAAACAACATCAGAACGCGAGCCTTCTTCGCTCAGCGAGTGACCAGGAGCCCTTTTGAGCCCCAGCCTCCCGCCAGGAGTGGGTGAACCGCGCCTGCCTCTTCTGTGGCTTCTTCATCGTTGGGCCCTCCTTGCCCGGAGCCCAGGAGCATGGTCCAAACCAAGCTGTCAGGTACTGTAACTGGCGAGGCTGGGAGGCTGGGAGAGTTCGGTGCGCTCCCCAGCGCTGGGAATGTGCAGGAACACATGACATATCGCCTCAGCATTTCGGTTAGGTTTCGCAGCCTCGCAGCAAGCCTCTGCATGCAACACAGGTTTGAGACCCATGGCGTTGCCGTGGCACGCCAAAGAAGGCTGACAGGCTGACAGTGAGGCATGAAGGTGTCAGCATTTGGCAGTTTTCTCCGGTAGGGCTGCAAGATGGAAGCTAGGAAACTGCACGCTCAATTGTTACACTGGAAAGTAGCCTATTTTGTGATACCAGTGTCAGCCGTAGCTACGCCCACCTTGTTACTTTAAGATCTTTACAGGGGGTGCCCTTGGTATCAGGGCAATTTTCACCATGGACCGTGGTGTGGCCACCCCCACGTGCAACGCAGACATTAGCGGTGCCACCTCTGCTGCTCAGGTGCTGGTACTATCAGCATGTGGTCAGCCACCACGTGAGCACAAACCAGGATGGTGACAAGGAACGTGATGTGGACGTGGAGCCTGGGCAGGAAAAACATATGCAAAAGCAGCCGTGGGCAGTCTGAAGCTTTTCAGGCTGCATATTTGGTGCAGCAGAACGTAGGTTGAGCTGCATGGAGCGATTTTTGGACTTGCCCTGCGCGTTTCGAACGGAGTTGATGGCCAAGAGGTGTTCAAGCTTTGACGCGCCCAACTGAAATTTCGGACGCCAAAACATGATTTGGGTGCTGCTTTTTGGCAGCAGCTGCGGCTGTAAGGAGTACATTTGGCTTGCCGACCTTTTCCCTGGCTGGCTGAAGGCAGGGGTCAGTTGCGTTGGCATTGACCAGAGAGGCCAAGCTAAGCTGACTGGTAAGCGACTGTGGTTGATGAGTTATATGCGCATTCCAAGAGTCGCAAAAGCCGTTGCGAAGGTTCTCTCCTTGCCCGGGATTTTCATTGGCGCGGTTGTCGAGATCGGCATCAAGCGCGCCCCAGCTCAAGCATCAGCGTTGATCCCGCAAAAGTGGTGCAGATCATTTGCCCGCCGCCTTTGAGGCATGATTGTGGACCTGCTCATCCGCGGGCATGCAGCTTCACAGCACTGGGAATGTTTTTTTCGACGAACCCAACCTAAAATCCCATCCCGTGCCATGGCATCAGGCATGGTGCCTAATGGTATAGAGGATGAACCTGCATGTGGCGGGCAGCACGTGTTTTTCAATAGCTCTCAAGCTTTTTTGCCTCGCAGATAGTGCTAGCCAGGAAATATGGGTATGTATCAAAATAGGGTAAATAGGGACTTGGAGTCCAAAAATAGCAGTTTTCTTGCAATCACTTGATTTGAAACCAAGGTGAACAGCTCAACACATCCACACTGCCATATTACACAAACCTGCGACGTCTCCTTCAGCCAAGGTGGGGGGTCACAAGGTGGACTACCGCGGCTTGGCGAGAACGAGCAAACATCTTAGTGGTGTGAAAGTGTCAAAATTGGGACTTTTAGATGTTTCGCAACAAGAACCAAACGCCAGCCTGAACAAGGGTATCCTCAACGCAACCCAGACCCAGGTGGTTACTTTTATCGAAAGAAGCTGTCAGCCCTACTTGGTGAGCTGCTCCAGCCACACTTTGAGTCACGGCTTGTCACTCTCCGAGTTGCTCGGACTCGTCTGAGGTTTGGGCGGCATTTGGTTCGAGATCCCAGTGTGGTGCCTGTTTCACTACACCTTCGGTACCTCAGCTACAGCCAGTGCAGACCCGTGATGGTTTCTTGTCCAATCCCTCGCGGCCATGCAAAGGGGCAGTTGCATTACATGGCCCAGTTAGAGTCGTACCCGGTGACAAGAGTTCTTTTGGCGAGAGTGCTGTACCGAGGCCCATCAATGCTGTGCTACCTGTGCCTGGGTTGCACGAATCTCCTGCTCTCTAGACAGGTTTTGGCACATGGACACTTCTGAGAGAAAACGAGTTCAAGCAGCTCAAAACCCTTGAGCTTTCGCTTGGTCGGCCATGGCCAAGAATGGCCCCGTACCAATGCAGAAGGCCAAATGTCAGAGTGCCAAGTCCGTCCCGTATCGTTTCTCCAGAAAACAAAAAGACAACATGCGCATGACACACTCCTACATAAAGTAAATGACGGTATGTTTGAAGCTGACTCACCAGGTAGGTAGGGAATGAGTCACGAACGCAGAGAGCGCCACGTTTGAAGACGAACAATCCGATGCCTACTGCTCGGCTCACTTCCCAACAGCAAACGGCCAACAAACGCTACCCCAACATCTGAGAAACAAAGAAGCACGATACGGGACATCCTAACATCGGAATGAATACACTCAGACGAATGGTTTTTTTGACGACTCATGTCTGCAGTTTTGCTTGTTTGCTTGCTTTCCTGCCTGCTGCCTCTTGCTTGCCTGCCTGCCTGCTTTGCTTGTTTGTTTGCTTCATTGCTTGCTTGGTGACTTGTTTCTTTGTTTCTTTCTTTGTTTCTTTCTTTCTTTCTTTCTTTCTTTCTTCCTTTCATCCGTCCTTCCTTTGCTTCGTGCTTTCTTCCTTGCTTCCTTTCATTGTTTCTTTGTTTTTGTGTCTTTGCTTTTTTTGTTTTCTTTGTTGTGTTGTGTTATTTGTTTGTTTGAAATTGTTTAGTTGTTGATTTGCCTTTCCTTGCTTTGCGTGCACGTGGTTTGCATGCGTCAGGTGCATGTGGCTCACTGCGGGTGCCATCTTCGTTCCTTGCTCACAAGTGGCCCACGTCATCCTCTACCCGGACGCTGGGCAGTGCCTTGGTTGAGGTAGCCTTGGCTTGGAGTTGCGGTTTGGAGGTTTGAACCTCAGGTTCTTTTGCGTACATGATCACTGCCTCGGGAAGACCTCCAAGGCACCAATTCAAACGAAGAGGGAAGCTGATTGGTTTGGTGGTGCAGTCTTTTCAGGGCTTCCTGTGGAATGGTCGAATTCAATTTTTGCAAGGGGTCAAATATGTTCGGAACCCAGCCGACACAGGCGGCACTTTGAGCCATGGGGGTTTGTTGAAGCAGTCACTGGAAGGGAAACAGGGACGAGCTCTCAATCTCAACCACAACCAGACGTCAGCTTTCCCATGTTCTCTGGGGAAAAAGCTGGACCATGGCTTGGCCCGGAGTTGGACCAGCCCGGGATGAGATGATCACTCCCTTAGGCGGCCGTGATCAATGGTCGTGCCATTGCTATGGGCCCTTTGTTTCCCATAAAAACCCTTCGCTGTCTAGTGACCCCAGTAGACCTTACGAGTATAGCCGGCGGAGCCGGGCGGTAATTTCAACATAGAAGAACTAGGGTTTGAAGCATGCCTCCGTTTCCATTTCTCGACCATTTTCCATGCTCGTTCGTAAAAGCATCGCCACACGGCGAATAAAGTAAAGCATGCACTGAGAAGGTTCGAGCTGCAACGCTTGACTGCTATTGCTAGTTTATGTTTGTGGTACTGGATGCTTGGTGTGATGTGTGTGTGTGTGCCAAATGCTCAAGCCACCAAAGAAACTGTCTGTTCAGCGCCAAGCAATGTTCTATCCGAGTCTGTCCCGAGACCGTCGTCGCGACCGAATTGTTTAAGAGCATACTGAAGAGTCTAAGAGCCCAATTCACTCACAGGGCCGCGTTTGCGACCCGCTTCAATTCCCTAGTTCTCGCATCTTTGGGCTTTTTCGTAGCTGATTCATGCGCTCCTAGTCGCAAAGATCTCGCGAGGTTCTTGTCACAGGCACTCTTAGGCGCTGCTAGCCCCTGTTCGGTTTTGGGGGAGGCTTTGACAACCATAGGGCCATGGGAAATCAGGCCGATGCCAAAGTGAGGTGGTTTCAATCCCTGTGATTTTACCAGTTTAAGGGTTCCCTTGGTCCAGAACATGTTGAGCCCAGCTCTCCACAATCATGGAATCCAGAGAAAGTTGCATGGGGCATACTGTGCAGGAACTTTGTTTTACAAGCCAAAATGTTTTTAGACAAACCTTGTCCCCCAGAGAAAGCTACCTGGCCCCTGGCCTTTGATGGCTGTGTGCAAGAAAAGCCATACAAACTGGGGGCCCTTCCTGCTAGGTTCCATCAAACATAGGGCATGGGCAATCCCAAGGATCGAAGAGTTGGGTGTGCCTTTTTTAACGTTCCAAAGAAGAAAAAAAAAGCAACAACAACAACAACAAACAAACAAACAAACAAGGGTTTCCTTTTGGCTTTCCTTCAAACCAACCCCAACAAAGGGCAAAATAGACTCCATGCTCAGGCACGAGTCCTGGGCCAAGATGCAGATCGCCGAGAGCGTGGACTTTGCCAGCGAGTCGGACTTCTGGCGCCTTTTCCCAAGCGCTTCGGGGGGGGCCCTAGCCATGGCCAAAGCCTCCCAGGCTGCCACTTGCTGCATAGCAAAAGGTATCTTTGTTCATGTGCCGAAAGAACACCAAAAGGGGATGTGGCTTGTTTATTTATGACTTCTCCAGACCAGTGCGGGTCATGAATGGAAACCTTAGTTCCCAAAATAAGGCTTGGGCCGATGGTCTGGGGACCCGTTGGATGTTTTGATCGACCTGTTTTGAACGATCAATGTGGGCAAAGACGGCATGCATCATGCCTGAACACACCATGGGAGCAATGTTGAATTATACACATTTGTTGTTTGTATTCAGGGTGACATGGGAACTCATCTACGCAGGCGACTCTGTTTCTTGACTGCAGCCTGTTTCCTGTGCCCCCCCAAACTTGCTTTTGACTCGAACCGTCGAAGCCCCCGGTTGCAGGTTCCACATGGC